TGAAGCTGCTGCTGCTGCTGCTCTGCTTCGGGACGCTTCGCGTGGGTGAGTCAGAGTTCCTCCTCGCCGTAAACCAGCCAGAAGGATTCATAGCAGTTAGAAAGAGTGTGAAGCCACGATCGCTGTAAGACACCTGCTGATCCATTCAGAGGCTGACGGTCACTTCCTGCTGTAAACGATTAAAGTAAAAACTCTGGGGCTGAATTCTGCTTTTCCATGTTTCAAATATTTTTTCTTTAACTAGATTTAATCGTTTTTACCAGAGGAGAAAAAGTCAGTACTGGACCTGAGTATGAATGAAGTGAATCTGCCGGTGTTGATCCTGCTCTCATGTGGAGGATAATTCCAAATGTTCTGCTGAGAATATCAGTGATTCAAGAAAGCTTTGTTGTCATTCTCATGTTTACATGAGGTGAGACGAAGCTACGTACCCACGGTCCCGGTTTCCCATTAAAGCAACAGAAATAATACAAACAAGTGAAGTGCAACAACCTGGGAAACTGTGGAGCAGGTATACAAGTGTAGACTGGATATATGTGATATATATATGAGTACAGCTTCAGAGTTTTCTTTAAATAATAAAGGGGGACACGTAAAGGTGTCAGAAACACTGCTGTGTTCGATCATTATGGACAAAGCTCTGATAGGCCGACAGCGTGAGCTGGGATCACGTCAGCCTGCGACCGTGTCGCTCACAGGACGAGCGCTGCCACAATAAATGGTTTTATTTATAAGTCAGAAACGCTGTGCGCCCGGCTGCAGGGTCGGTAGTGTTTCAGTGTTGTGTATCTGTGTATGCAGATGATCACATCTGTCCTGCACGTCATCAGGGCGTCGAGGCTGCTTTTGGTTTTAAATTGTTTTATTTGTTCAGTTTTGTGAGTCTGGAATGAGTAAAGGTCGATTTTAAGGACATTTCGGCTCTGAGAGCTCAGACTCGTGGATTCAGGTACTAGGTGGCGGTGCTCTGCCCGTCGTGGTGCTACCACACCTCCACATAAGCAGGTCAGTAGATCGCTTCGCCATCGCTGTCAGAGGTGGCACAGACTCCACAACACTATAAACTCTTAACCATAAAAACACTGACTCGACCTTTCTCTCACACTTGTGTCCAAACACACTTCTAGGCGCCGCCCCCTGCTGGACATTAGAAGTAATGCAGGCTTCACTTGTCAGCCCTAGAAGCTTTGTCCATCTTTATATACAGTCTGTGGGATTTTCTCTTTGGACGCCAGGAGGATGTTTTAGGGGATTTCAGTCAAATAATTTGTGTATTTATTCAATATATTTCATATATAATTAATGAATTGGTGAATAAATAGGTAGTAAGAACATGAAAAGCTGACGTGTTGTTTCCAAAACGATAAATCTCGCTCCTCCTTCTCCTCGTTCTCCTTCAGGTTCTGGGCTTCGCTGCTATAAGTGCCAGGATTACACCGGACGCTGCCAGGACGTCCAGGAGTGCACGTATGAGGACTCATGCATCTCTCTGAGTGAGAGAGGTCAGTTTAACCCAGAGTTGACCACTTCCTGTTAGCTTCGTGGTTCAGAGACTGGCCAGATTAGCTCAGAGCTATGACTCCTGTGTTATTAGTGCTGAGTCGGCTCATTTTACTTTGATGCTAAATCTTAAAAATGAAGGACGCACTTTTCTTTTTCAGCTCCACTCAGAATTTTCTCTGTCAGCCAATCAGATTTCTGTGCGTGTGTTTGGTTTTCCAGGTGGGAAGACCATCCGTCAGTGCATCAGGTACACGGACTGCGATAACTCCCGCCTCAGCCAGATGTTCCCGGCCATCTCCGCCTTCACGTACCGATGCTGCAGCAGCAACCTGTGCAACTCCGGCACCGCTTGCACCGCGGTCACGCCCCTGGTGGCTCTGCTGGGGTCTCTGCTGAGTGTCTGGTGGTGCTGGATGTGAAGCAGCATGTCAGTGTTTCAGCCACAGACTGTATAAAGTCGATGGATGTCTGAACAGCTAAAGTCCTTCAACCTGCTCTTTCTAATGACCAGCAGGGGGCGCCTCCTCTGGTCCGGAGAAAATGAGCGTCCTGCTCAGCCGATCTCAGCTCAGTAAACTCGTTAATGGTCTCTGTCGCAGGTTCAGGTCTAAAACTTTCTAAAATAAAACACGAACTTGGTCCCGTTAGAGTCGCAGAGGAGCAGGAGGAGTTTCTGTGACTGAACCGTCACAAACAGGCCTCACTAACCAGCAGGTGACGTCACTCCAGCGACATCCATCTTTTATATACAGCCTATGATTTCATCTTTCAAAGCTAACACGAACTAAAGCAAATGTAAAAAAAGAAAAACAGCTTTTTCACCTTGTCAGCTGATTTCTCACTTCTTATTCTGCAAATTGAACAATAAATACGAGAGAAAAAAATATTTAAAAAACTGTGTTGCTTCTTTTTTTTAAAGAACAAACAAAAACACAGATTCATCCACCAGTTACATAGTCCCTCTGTGGAGGGAGACTATTCTCATGATCCACAAGCATAAACTCTGATTTATAGATGAGCTCCGTGATGTGTTGAATGTGCGCTGCACTGGTGATGACTTCAAACACTCTTAATAACAGCATTCAAACTGCAATAACTTTTGATAACGATGACCAGCTGTTTATTAGTCATCGAGCTTATATAAACAGTATGTCACAAAGGTGAGTACACGCCACACATTTTTGTAGATATTTTGTTTTATCTTTTCATGGGACAACACTGAAGATATACGGAGCCATCCTATAGGGGTTCAGGCCCATGCAGAACAGCAGTGGGGACAGAGCATCTCCTTGGTAGATCTCACATTTGATGCTGACTTATGCTATGGGCTTGAAGTCGGCCTCTAGTGTTGTCCACCACATCCCCATTGAGTTCCTGATGAAGGCTCTTGGGGTCCTGCTGGTTTGTATAGTTCCAGGCTGTCCAGGATCCAGGTGGTGGGGCATTGAGTGATAGGCCTTCTTGTAATCCAGGCAGTGCACAGGTTGGTCAGCCTAGTCTTGCAGTCTTGGGTGAGTGCTCTCTCTACCAGTAGTTGATGATTCGCTCCACTGGTATTCCTGCCAATTCCTTTCTGTGCCCCACTTGTGTATTAAGCCATTGTTATCAGGAAGTCCTAAAAACTCCCTGAAAGCCTTCAGCTGATCCAAAATGCTGCAGCAAGAGTCCTGACAGGGACTAGAAAGAGAGCAGATTTCTCCTGTTTTGGCTTCCTGTTAAATCCAGAATTCAAAATCCTGCTCCTCACATACAAGGTCTTAAATAATCAGGCCCCATCTTATCTTAATGACCTTGTAGTACCATATCACCCTATTAGAGCACTTCGCTCTCGCTCTGCAGGCCTACTTGTTGTTCCTAGAGTATTTAAAAGTAGAATGGGAGGCAGAGCCTTCAGTTTTCAGGCCCCTCTTCTGTGGAACCAGCTTCCAGTTTGGATTCAGGAGACAGACACTATCTCTACTTTCAAGATTAGGCTTCAAACTTTCCTTTTTGCTAAAGCATATAGTTAGGGCTGGACCAGGTGACCCTGAATCCTCCCTTAGTTATGCTGCAGTAGACGTAGGCTGCCGGGGGATTCCCATGATGCATTGAGTTTTTCCTTTCCAGTCACCTTTCTCACTCACTATGTATTAACAGACCTCTCTGCATTGAATCATATCTGTTATTAACCTCTGTCTCTCTTCCACAGCATGTCTTTATCCTGCCTTCCTTCTCTCACCCCAACCAATCACAGCAGATGGCCGCCCCTCCCTGAGCCTGGTTCTGCCGGAGGTTTCTTCCTGTTAAAAGGGAGTTTTTCCTTCCCACTGTCGCCAAAGTGCTGCTCATAGGCTCGTATCTATTAATGTAGGATCTACCTTACAATATAAAGCACCTTGAGGCAACTGTTGTTGTGATTTGGCGCTATATAAATAAAATTGAATTGAATGTGCCTGTTCATCTTAGCCGCTATGATGCCTGACAGGAGCTTCCACCTGGTACTGAGGCAGGTTACTGGCCAGTAGTTGGATGGGACTGGTTGCCGTTCAGTAAGCCATTCTGGGTGGGGAGGTTGCTGTGGTCTGCTCTTAGATCCAGTAGCCACTGAGTATTGCTGTTATGGTTGCGTCCTTCTCCCGTACGCTCTTGCAGTATTGCTCTGTCTCCAGCCTTGGTGGTGCTGTCCTCATATTGGCCCCGCTTGGCACTTTCCAAGGCCTCAGGTATGGGCAGCTTGCTGTCAGTGGCGGTCCTAGCCTGTTTGGCGCCCCGGGTGAACACTCCCTCTGGGCGTGACTCCCTTCAGTAAGCTACATTGGTGTCTAATGTTTACTATCATAGCCAAGTGACTAACAAACGTAAACAGAAGTTTTCACTATCACTACTAATTAATGTTATCTTGTTGTATCTGTGTTGTGGCCAGTGCGATCCTCTCTGCTGCTGCATGCTGGGACAGCAGGTTGAGGGTCACAGACGCCAGCAGACTAAATAAACTGATCCACAAGGCCAGTAACGTTGTGGGGATGGAGCTGGACTCCGTTAGGGTGGTGTCTGAGAGGCAGATGTTGTCCAAGATAAAGACAATGTTGGATAACACCTCCCACCTACTCCATGACGTGCTGGCTGGTCACAGGAGCACGCTCAGTACGGAACGACACAGGAAATCATTCCTGCCTGTGGCTCCCTGAACAACTCCTCCATCTAACACACTGTGAACAATGGTCACAGCCTTTTTACACACGCTTTTCTACTCTGGAATATTCTTGTCACACTTGGCTTTGAACTTTTCTTGTCCATCTTGGTTTTAATTTTGCACTTCAGCATGAACACAAATCCTCCTTGGATTTACAACATTATAAATGAGATGTGCTCTATCTGGAAGCAGCAGGCCCCGCCCCTTTCAACGGGTTGTGTGAGACTTTAAATCATCGAACTGTAAATTATAATTTTAAATTGTTATTGATCCTTTACCCCGAGTCCTAAAGTGTAGATTTATTTTCTTACTCCTCTTATATTTATTGTTTGTTTACTTGCTGTAGCTGGAGCCTCGTCGTCTCGACCACGATGCCGCCCCGGGCAACCGCCCGTATCAAAAACCGCTACTGCTTGCTGTACTGCGTAGGCACCTCCTACATCGCACCTTTCTCCAAATTCGATAGTCGGCTACTTTTCCTCTGTGCTACCTTGATCTTGGAGTAGTCTCCTTCTCCGTGGAGGGTTCTGCTCCTTTCATCTTACAGCATCTCACTGATGACTTCTGTCGTGGAGTAGATCACATATATACACGTATATTCATGTGAGGGTCGGAGCACAAACGTGAGTACATGCAAATCACTTCGTTTGTAAGTATTAAATGAATAATTTCCCTTCGTACTCGGAACCTTCCATCGTGCATCGTGTGTGCTGCTGTCTCACTGGTCTATTGCACCATCTAGTGTTACAGAGTGGTATTACACTAACTGAAAGCCCAGCTCAACACGAGTCTCAGAGACAAAGCGGTTATTTCTTCACAGGAAGGATTTTACCTGGAATCTGCCCTGAAATCCTTTCAAAATAAAGCTTGACCTGCACTTTAAATCCAGCTTGTGGGTCACAGACAGCACAAAAAAGCCTGACAAAAAGGATGATAAAAAACCATATTTATTAAACATCACAAATATTGAAATACATATCCAAGCCCTACAGAAGAGATCTAAAGCAGCAGGAGATGTGCTACAAACCTCAGCACTCACGGGAGTGTCTTTGTCTACAGTGTACAGTACTTACACACACACAGGGTTTAATGTGACTGTTAAATCATTTAGAACTAGAGGAGGAGACAAGCACGAGGACATGAAAGGAGACAACAAGCTAAGTGTGTCCTAAAATCTCAGCAGGGTTAAGTCTATTAAAATAGTCAGCATGAACACGATGGACACAAAAACCATGTTGTGGTCAGTTTCCTGTGTCTGTTGTATGCGGTAAACGTACATTTCTAATGCGTAGTATCACTAACAGGAGCTTCGACAGCATGTGTTCCCTCTATAACATTCAGTGTTTTTAAAATAATGTTCATTTCTGTCTTCTACACAAATATTTAATGTTTTCCAGCTCTGAGAAACCTTTGTGCATTGCATTCTGGGAGATCGCCATCCTTTAACCCAGCGGTCCCCAACCCCCGGGCCTCGGTACCGGTCCGTGAGTCGTTTGGTACCGGGCCGCGAGAGCTGAGGCTCAGGTGTGAAATGTCTGGTTTTCAGGGTTTTTATCGGTTTCCAGCGTTATTTTGTTCTCGTTTTTATCGTTTACTCGGTGTTCCTGGGTCTTTTCACGAGTGTTATGAATAAATCTTCTTTTTTTCAGTACTAGTTTTATTTTGTGTATTTATCCGCGACACCTTAAAGGCCGGTCTGTGAAAATATTGTCGGGCATAAACCGGTCCATGACGCAAATAAGGTTGGGGACCGCTGCTTTAACAGGCACATGACTGCAGTTCACCTGGGTGTGCAGCAGCGGGCGCTGTGTTCAGTCGCTTAGCTCTCCGAGCACGTCCTCTTCGATCTGCCGTCCGATCACCTCCAACTGGACTGTCTTTTTCTGTCCTTTCTGCTCCACCTCCTTCTCTGCTTTCTCTGACTGGGCGTACCAGGGCTGAGGCGTGGAGCTGTCGTAGGCCCGCCCTCCTCTGCGGAACCCCCCTCTGCCGGCTCGAACCAGCCCCCATCCCTGCAGCTGGACGTCGGACCCTCCTTCCTGGACTCCTCTGGTTTGGTTGAGCTCCTTGGCGCTGAGAGACGACATCCGGACGGGAACCGTGTTTCCGAACTTGGAGTAGTCGACACAGTACCTGCCGTCCTCCTCCGTGATGATGGAGACGAAGCGCCTCCCCCACAGAATCTCCTCGGGTATATAGGAGGTCCGCGCCTGCATGGTGATCCCCGTCGTCTCCACCACACCTTAAAGAAGAAATAGAGGGTGCATGGAGATATAAGGTTAAAGGTCAAAAACCTGTTTGTAATGCAGTCCAGAAGTTTTATTCATTCAGTGTCGCTTTACAGCTGCAGGCGCCTGCAGGACTCTTTATAAAGTTCAATTCAAATCATAACAACAGGATATTTCTAACTTTAGAGATGTTGCACAAATGGAAGAAAGCAGTCTTACATATTTGTTTAATATGTGCGTTGAAGGACATGTCCTGGTCAAAAATGACTCCAAGGTTCCTCACAGCGTTACTGGAGGCCAAGGTAATGCCATCCAGGGTAAGAATCTGGTTAGATACCATATTTCTAAGATTTTCAGGGCCGAGTACAATAACCTCAGTTTGATCTGAATTAAGAAGCAGAAAGTTAGCGGCCATCCAGGTCTTTATGTCTTTAAGACATTCCTGCAGTTTAACTCATTGGTGTGTGTTATCTGGCTTCATGGACAGATAGAGCTGGGTGTCATCTGCATAGCAGTGAAATGTATGCTATGTCTTCTAATGATGCTGCCTAAGGGAAGCATGTATAATGTAAACAGAATTGGTCCTAGCACTGAACCCTGTGGAACTCCATAATTAACCTCAGTGTGTGAAGAGGACTCTCCATTTACATGCACAAATGGAGTCTATTAGATAGATATGATACAAACCACTGCAGCGCAGTACCTGTAATACCTACAGCATGTTCTAATCGCTCTAATAGGATATTATGGTCGACAGTATCGAACGCTGCACTGAGGTCTAGCAGGACAAGCACAGAGATGAGTCCACTGTCAGAGGCCATAAGAAGATCATTTGTAACCTTCACTAAAGCTGTTTCTGTGCTGTGATGAGCTCTGAAACCTGACTGAAACTAACGAGTCGTCTGCTTTACGCTACGTGTTTGAGAATTATACCACGGAGTCAGGTACTTCTGATTTAAGTCTATTTTTCACCCGAGCTACAGTATCCAGAGTCGTACGCAGTGACAGGAGGTAAAGTTATTAACAAGATGATGGACCTCTGTTGGAGCAATGTTCAGGTAGCTGCTCTGTGTTGGCAGTGAAGATGATAACAGTGGGTGGATGATATAAAGGAAGGTAAAGATCTCACCTTCCAGGATGACGATGATCTCCAGGTCCTCGGAGGCCAGTGACTGGGCGGACAGCTCGTAGAGAGGACTCCCTCGCTCCATGGTGTGGCTGATGATCAGGGGAGACACCAGGAAGATGCCGTTACTCCTGAGGGGGTTCTCCACCTGGATGTCCAGCTGGCACACGGGGATCACCTCGCCTTCTGACGTCACCGTCCGCCGGATCACCTGAAGAGAAGATTTCAGTTTTGTGTCTGTATCTTCAGGATTGGTTTGCATTACTGGGGCTGTTTTGTTTTGTATGCGTGATGTGGAGCTCAGGTGAAGTTGTAGGACACCTGCAGCTGGACGGTGGCTGAGATGATCATGCTCTTCCTCAGATCTCCCACTCTGAACATGAAAGTGGGGCGGCCATTTCGAGGAGCGATGACGGCGTTTTTGGAGAAGATGAGTGTTTCTGCTCGCCGGTTGGCCTGCGCCGTCTTCATGAACACGCAGCCGAGCATCACGGCGTTGATGATCAGCCCCAAAATGTTCTGAATGATCAACACGGTGATGGCCAGCGGACACTCCTCCGTCACCATCCTGCCACCAAAACCGATGGTCACCTAGACGGGAAACATCCAGGATTACCACAAGACAGAAGTCTACACCCGCATCAGCAGGAAGCAACTCTCACCTGGACTTCAATGGAGAAGAGGAAGGCAGAGGTGAAGGAGTGGATGGCTGTGACGCAGGGGACTGGGCCCGGCTCGCCGTTGGGGTCGCGGGGCTCCAGGTCTCCGTGAGCGAAGGCGAGGAGCCACCAGATCATAGCGAAGAGCATCCAGGAGCAGAGGAAGGCAGAGGTGAAGATGAGGAGGGAGTGCTGCCACTTCAGGTCCACCATGGTGGTGAAAACGTCCTGCAGGAAGCGACCCTGAACCACACCACAAAGCCTCCCGTCAGCAAACCGTCCTCTCTTTTTCCTCGTTCTACCCCCGGACCTTTTCTTCCCATCGCCCGTAACAACATTTAACTTATTCTGGATTCCGGCTTATCAAAGTAAAAGGATGTTTAACAGATAAAACACGCAGTGGAGCTCCCAGACGCTCCGCCCTCCATCCGCTGTAGCTTTTTATCTACATTCTGCCACAGAGCAGCAAACAGAAAAGTCCTGCACATCTGAAGCTTTCATTGCATGCTGAACCATAACCAAACACTCGCTGCTCTACCTGTTCCCTGATGTTCTTGTGAGCCACGTTACAGGATCCGGTCTTGGTGATGAAGCGGGCTCTCTGAGACCTCGAACGGCTGCGGTTTGGCTGGTTCTGGTCCTCCGCCAGCCGGGTCAGCAGGAAGCCGTCCGGCAGGAGGCCCTTCCTGGCCAACATGACGCTGCGCACGTGAAAAATACAACTTAAACATAAATACAGCTGCGAAAGGTTCGTCATCAACACCAAGAAAACAGCAGATTTACAGCATATAATTCTTAAGTGAGGCAAAAATGATGAATTCATAAATACTGTAAAAGAAATTTGTCAATAATCTTCTGAACTTTGGACTTTTGGTGAGTAAGCCGTTTGAAGGAGATTCTCTACTTCCTGTTACTGACGAGATGCATCTCTGACATCCCAAAGACATTTAAATTAAACGTAAACAAAAAACAGAACAGTAACATAATAATAAAATAAAAACTAAAAAGATAAAAATAGTAAAACAACTCAATTAAATAACAAAATAAAACAATAAAAACTGCAAACACGTGCGTGTACGTGAGCCATGTTAGATCTTTATTATATAACTGTAATATCACTGTGTTATTTCCTCTTTATTTTGTTAATACAATGAATACGTGAATATAAACAACAATAATTTATCACAGTTCAAAAATAATCAGTTACAACTAATTTAAAAACTGTTTCAAGTTGACTATACCTGTTATCATCCTGCAACATATTACATTACATTATCATAGACAGTGCTGGGACCTGTTTTAAGTTGACTGGTGATGCATGTGAGAGCCTGGAGGATGTGACCTCTGCTCTCGCATGTTTACTGTCGAGGCAGAAAGGCGGAAATGACGACAGTTAATTGTCCAAAACAGTCTCTTATTCCTGCAGGTGTGTGCAGGTGGCATCATTTCCACGGTGGTCACAAAAAAGAATCTAACTCCATATTAACAGAAACCAACGCGAGCATCAGCATCCTTCTTTACGCGTTTGTTGGTTCCTATCACCATAACGACACGCGCGTCTCTCTGCAGGTGACACTGATGACCGCACTGATAAAACCCGCTTAGAGTCACGCGACGTTACCTGGGCGGGAGTGAGCTGATGGAGTTGAATAAAGGTGGTGTTCCTGAGCGGGGTGTCTTAAACCGACGGGAACGGCAGCACGGACTCCATCATTCAGCCATCAGGATGTCCTCAGCACCACCCGAGCATCGACCTGAGTCAGGTTAAAACATGATATAGGTGAGGTTCCGGCCTGGACTTTCAAAATAATACACTAAAGGTGCCGTTTATGATGTTTTTGGTCATTAAAGAACAAAGTAGACCATGCGCTATAACAGACTGAGTATAATATCGATTGGACTCAATTACAGGCTGATCATATAGTTAATCAATAATTCAGTGCAACGGGAAATTGCAAAGATGTTCAGGTAACTTGTCAAATAGCTTTAACGAATGAGAGGAATTTAATTATGAAAGTGCATTTCCGGTGTTGGGTGTGGTGAATGTGATGACCTTGACGTTGAGCTGCAGGAGGCTCAGCAGAGGCTTCCTGGTGCCTGCAGGGGGCAGCAGAGGAGACGAGGCGCGTGTGTGCGCGCGTGTGTGTAAACATTAACACATTTATACATAAATGAAAGTGAAATGAAACATTTAAAAGACAAAAGTAGCTCCTATTAACTGAACATCGCGTGGTAAAATCCGCTCTGAACAAAAAAGAAATCAAACACATTCACTTGTATTTTAATTAACCAAATATTTGACTTATTTATTACAGAAAACAGAATCTTACAGACGATAAAACAGTAACCTCAGGTGGTTTTATTCATTCTCTTATTTTTCTGCATTACTCCTTAAATATGTTGGTCCTGACTGATGGCCTGAACGTAACTGTCTTCGCTTGAAGCTATTTTTGACTTGTCAATGTGAACATTTGCATTTGTTACAGACTGGATTTTAAATGCGTTGTTCCTGTTCTGGGACTGAGCTGCATGAACCTACATGCACATTCTATATGAAGCTGATACTGTCTGCTTTTACAGCCTAAAATACTGCTTCTGTCCAGTCCAGGGTCTCAAACTTGCGGCCTGGGGGCCAGTAGGGAGGGTTTGTTTGTTGTTGAGTGCAATGTTTAAAAAGTTCTGTAAAAAGCACAAAATAATTTAATATGAAGGCAATATGAGCCAAGACTACAAACACGCTGAGGGAGTTGGCTGTGTTAGTTCAGTGACAGAGTTCCCTAATTTAGACAAATATGTGGTAAATACGTAAACGCAGGGGTCTTTTTTTCTCTCAACAGGTGATCTGGGATATATTTTCTTTTTAAGTGTCCTTTCTCACTGTCCCTCTTCCCCTCTGTTTTTCTGTTCCTTCATCTTTCTTTCTCCCTTTCCTATTCCCCAGCCATGTCTGTTCCATTTGTAACTACTGAAAATTAAATAAAATAAAAAATAACAACAAAGGTTGATCAAATGGATCAATACGACAAAGCCGTGATGATCCACTTGGTAAAGTAAATCTGTTGGATATCTTTGTTGGCCTTCAGTCATCAACTCATCAATGACAGCTAAAGAACCAAACGGGACAGGCAAAAAAAAGCAGTGGTGTCCAACTCCAGGCCTCGAGGGCCCGTGTCCTGCAGGTTTTAGATCTCACCCTGGATATCACACCTGAATTAAATGATGAGTTCATTACCAGGCCTCTGGAGAACTTCAGGACATGTTGAGGAGGTCATTTAGCCATTTAAATCAGCTGTGTTGGATCAAGCACAGGTCTAAAGGACGCCCTCGAGGCCTGGAGTTGAACCCCTTCCTGCCTAAAAGCTTTTACCACTAAAGTGCGAAAGTTAGTTATTACAATTTCAGGCAGTCCTGTTTTATATCCATATATATGTTATAAATCCCCATATTTACTTAATGTAAAAAAAAGCAATAATAATAATAATAATAATAATAATAATAATAATACACGGGGAAAAAACGAGCTGGTTGTGTTTGTGTTGACCCCGCCCTCTCGAGCCGGAGGTCAGGTGATAGCGGCCAGGCCCGGGTGGAGATATCGAGCGTACCCTTCTCTCGGAGCAGAGCGTCGGGATGCAGGCTAGCTCCGTTAACGGGGACGCTTTAATTCACGCTTTTCCGCCCGTCGGAGGAGGTGACATAAGATACCGAGAGGAGGCGGAGGTCAGGGCCGAGCCGAGCTAACAGGAGCCGGTGTCTCTCTGTGCGGCGGGAAGCCCGGCTCCGAGGTCTGTTTGTTGTTTAGCTTTAGCCGTCTGAGTTAGCTTGCAGCCTCTGGCCGCTAACGGTTCACCGGGAGGAGACAGCGGCCCCCGCCCACAGACACGGCCCGGCCCCCGTGATGGACGGAGGAGCCCCGTTGTAGGAGCAACAGGATGCGCTAGCGGATGTAGTTAGCATCGGGCCTGAACACAGCACATCTCCTCCTCCTCCTCCTCCTCCATCCCTCCTTCCTTCCTTCCTTCCTTCTCTCCTAGCTGTGTCCTCTCATGATCACCATGGAGCCGGCCCCCCACCCGCTGCCTCACTTCCCAGAGAACTCCTATAAGAGTAAGTACCTGTACCCTTAAAAGTGCTGCTCCATGTGTTTGAGCTGCTGACCTTTGACCTCCGCTGCCTGCCTGCAGTGACCGAAGAGGATGTGAAAAGGCTGATCGAGTTCAGGGCATCCAACGAGGCCCTGTTCACAGGGAAGAGGAACTCTGCAAAGATAGCCTGGAGGTATGAGCCCGCCTGCTCCTGGACTCACCTGAGCAAGCGACAGGTGACCGAGGAGCAGCAGAAGCAGTTTAACCTGAGAGATCCGGGTGCCAGCGGCCAGGACCGGTCGCAGCACCCTCATAAAGTTCCCACGGCCTCAGTGAGTGCTCATGTCCTGCTTCCTGTCTCCTCAGCACCATCCTGAAAGGCCTCGGTCTGGAAGGGAAGCTGACGGCGGACCAGATCGCCAAGAAATGGGACAACCTGCGGACAAAATATAAGGTACATGAGATGCCATGTAGCTGCTGTTCTTCTCCTCATGTCTGTGAAAGTCATTACCCCCCCCCCCCCGTGAACTCACAAGTTAACTGATCATCCTCATGTTTTTGCAAAGACTCCGGTATCACTGCCACTCCCAGCCCTGATCCCTGTCAGACCTGCTGACTAGGGATGTGTATCGTTTAGGTTTTATCCAATACCAGTACCAAGCCGGTGCTCGAACCGGTGATTAAACAATGGAAAAAACAAACTTTGTCCAAAAACCTCTCATGTTCAGCTGTTTTCTGCTTTTTCTTTGGTCATTTTAGCCTTTTTGGCCAGGGTGAAGGGAGCATCTGCCATCAAACAAGAAGACAGCCGCATGTAGCTATGATGATGTTTGCTAGTTCACCTTACATGCATTAATGTAATAACGTGGTTAGCCTACTCAACGTAAATTACACACCAACAACATTAAGCTACTCACGCAGAGAAGAATGGCTGCTGCTGCATCATCATCCTCATCATTTCTGCTACACTGGCAGGGCTAGGGGCCAGGACTCTCCTCTTCGGGTTTTTGGGGGATGTTGCTAACTCCGGGTCGATAACAGGCACCACACCCGCAGTAGATGTGCTCGGTGTGAGGTCTTGCAGCAAGCTATCAAATACGGCGCATTTCTCGGCTTTTAAAAAAAACGCTATGCGTCGCCAGGTGTTTCATCGGATTCGAGGTGTTGCCTCCTTTGACAGTATCACAGTATCAGCTTAAAGCACTTGTTGCTGCTGAGTTTGCATCTTTTGCTGTGAAGTACAGCCAGACTTTGACCGCTTCGCCTTGGGCGTTTTTAATCTTTAGCTCTGCTCTAAAAGAACGCACGTACGTAAAATGATTGGCTAGAATCCAAAGTGTGTGACATCTCAAGAAAACAAAGCACCGAAATGTGTGCTGCTTTTCGGTCTGGTTAGTACAGTTAATGTGGATACCGGTACCCATCCCTAGTGGTGACTCAGAAATCCTTTAAATAGAAGCTGTTTGACAAAGTGAAGCAGGCTGAAGATCTCAACCAGCAAACACCACGAGTCTGGACTTAAATCAGTCTGGGCGAGGGTGGAACAACCAGTTATCAGGTTTTGGGGACAGTTACTTTTTCAGACATGAGGAGAGACGGTGTTTGTTTGTTTGTTTTTAATTAGATTTTTCCGATGAGCACATCTGTCTGCTTCTTGGTGAATCTTTCAGGGAGTCGACTGGAGGAAAAAGACCTTTAAATGTCTTCATGTTTAATTCTTTTTATTTGGCACGTTTCTTTCTGTGACGCACTTTGCAGAACAGTTTTTCTGCTGACGCTCGCCTGCAGGCAGCTCTTACTGTACGTCCCTGTTTCAGCCTGCAGGGGTCACTGTTCTCCTCTTTCCAGGACCTGAAGCAGCCATACCAGGGCCAGGACCACATGGGGGGCGTTGTGGAGTCGTGGCCGTGGTTCCACATCATGGATGAAGCCATGCAGGGTCGCCTCTACAACAGCAACCTGGTGCTGAGCCCAGAGACCGCTGGCAACGCTGGTCACCGTGGCAACTGCCAGCCCAATCAGAACCAGGAGAACACCGACATCCTGGAGTTCCTCATCAAGACGGAGATGGAGGACACGGTGGCAGCTGAAACAGCAGCGGATGATGGGGGGGTTCACACGGAGGCTCCGCCCCCTGAGGGCATCCCGATGGGCTGGAGGAGGATGACCGAGTGCTCGTATAAAAGTAGGCAGACGCACCTGGCTGACATCATCAGGTATAATCACACCTCACGCAGGACCGAGTGTTTAATGGCTCCGCCCCACCCCCCACCTCTTGTTGACAGTGAGCGAACAAGAAACTGAGAGGATGATCAAACTTCGAGCAGCCAACGAGGCGCTCTTCACTGGCAGGAAACATTCAGCCAAGCCGGCCTGGAGGTGAGTCGAACGCACCTGAACCAGGTCTGAACCGGTTTCTGGTTTGATTTTGTTATTGTCTTTTTATTTCCGTCATCTCAGATTTGTTATTGACGTGGATCTTATTTAAAGAAATAATTTGTCATATTGTGTTGATGCGCGCTCAGTCACCCGGGTGACGAAATCACCTGTTCGGAGTGTTTTTTTCAGTGTGAGAAACGGAATCAACTTCCTGGGATAGTCGCACGGTTTAATGTCATGAAAATATGTTTTCAAACATCTTTTGGGCGTGTTTGAAGTTCAAGCCTCTACAGCAGGTTTCCCACCCGTCCAGCTGTGGCCTGGTCACAGTAAACAAAGGCTCCACTGATCTCCGTTACATGATGTGGTCCTAATGAATCGAACGTCGGCGAGATCATTTTATATAGATGTATTATTATTGTTATGCATGGCCCGGCGATATGAGGCGCTAGTAATATACAAACTACAGATCCCATGATGCAGCGCTGCAGCCTCCTTGCTGAGCGCTAGGCTAACTGGGAACATTCCCGCGTCAAGCTACTTCTCACGATGGTGCAGAGACAAGTTGACTCTGAAAGCAGAGCCTTTCAGCGCCGGTGGGAGGCTGAATATATGTTTACAGACATGCTGGTAAACCGTGAGTCTTATTAGTGGCGCTAATGTGGCTGTAATGAAGGAATTTAGTTTAAGACGGCACTACGAGACAAAACGTCAGGATAAGCTGAAAAACCGAAACGCAGAAACTACAGGAAGTAGAAGAGCTGAAGAAGAATCTGACGTTTCAGCAGACGTTCGTCACCAGAGCAAAACCACAAAGTGAAGCTGTTGTGAAAGCAAGTTTTATCGTAGCAGAGGAGCCAAAGCAGCCCGGTACCACTCTGAAGAGCTGCAGGATGAAGCTGTGGACGGCTTGTGTCCAGACAAAACGCAGAGTTTAGCAAATGTGAGCCTGAGCAGAAATACAATTGCTGATCGGGTTTGTGAGACGGTCACTGATTTAAGAACACAGTTGTGTGAAAGAAGCAAAAACTTCACTGCATGCTCTCTGTGGATGAAAGTACAGACATGATGGACACTGCACAGCTGGCCAGCTTCATCCGTGGAGAGGAAATATTGGACATTAAATCGATGCACGGGACAACGACAGGGAAAGACATTTTTAAAAACGCATGGCAAAGTGTAACGACGTGAAACTGCCCTGGGACACACTTGTTGGACCTACAACAGATGGAGCGCCGGTGCTGTGCGGTGGAAAAAGCGGACTAGTCCGCAGGATGCGAGTAAAGATGCAGGAGGACTGTACCGGTGAGTTAACAGCACATCACTGCATCACACACCAGGAAACGCTGTGTGGTAAAGTCCTAAAAATGGAGCATGTAATGATCACCGCGACGCAGACCGTACATTTTATCTGAGCTAAAAGTTTAAATCACCGTCAGTTTCAGTCTTTTATGTGGGAAATAGATTCAGAGTTTGCCCACATTCCTTCATGCAGAGCTCCGCTGGCTGACTCGGGATAAAAGTTCTCAACAGAGTTTTTGAGCTCAGCAAGGAAACCTGTCAGTTCATGGACATGTGTGATGCAGTGAAGCTGTCACAAATGCACCAGTGCAGCCTGCCTCACTTTCCCTGTTGCAGTAATGTTGAACCAAGTCAGCGCACTTTGCTGAGCTGCACCTGTGCAGATTCAGATGCAGCTGCAGTGTAATGATGCACTCAGGGAAAGTACGACACTGAATGGCCGCACAGTTTATTAGCTCCACTCCTGCAGCAGCGCCCAGCTCCGTCTACATGCGGCTCCAACCTTGTGTTTGCTTTCATTTACTTTTTCTGGGGTTTTGGCAGCATGTTCATATTTCTAACTTGCATAATTTTGACAGGATATATTTTTATGAAGAGCAAAATATTTAAAGTTTTTTTTTTAAGTTTATTTAATCTGGAATAATATTCCTGTCTGTTTTTATTCATATTTATGTTTAAAAACATTGTTTAGGTGTTCAATAAATGTTTATCTTGTTTGGCCCGCGACCTAAAGTGTGCCTTGAGTTTGGCCCTGTATGATCAGGAACAGTCATTAATTTTTTGTTGCCTATATAATTTTTTTTTTTTTTTTTTTTTTTTTTTTTTTTTTTTTTTTACAGAAAACTACCAAAAATAAAATGAATGTATTGATAAGAAATAAGTTTTTGGACTTTTTTATATACTTTTTGTAGATTAGGGTTTCATAAATATTTCTTGTTTTTATTTGCAGAGCGTCTCAGACATTTAATAATGTTTATTTTTCTGATCATTGTCAAAGACTTAAAGGTACCTTTTGTAATCCCTCCTGTCCAAATGTGAATTCAAACATACACCAGCAGGGGGCAGCATTGACCAGTACATGCATTTTGATGTTTCCAGATCACTTCCTCACGGCGCTCTGCTGCAGGCTCATCAACTTAATAACCAACCTGAGTAAATTAATCAGGACTCGTGCAGCGTTTTGAGAAATTCATCTTTTTAAAGACTTAAAAACCTAAAATAACTCCAACGCTGCCGAAGACAAACAGTTCCAAACCTTCATGTTCATTGTTGGTCAGGTCTGAAGGGGCTCGGCTCCGATTCAAATAACTTTATTTGTTGATTTTCTCAGAGCGATTCTCTATGAGCTCGGCCTTCAGGGCAAACTGACCACAGACCAGCTGGCCAAGAAGTGGGACAACCTGAAGAGGAGATACAAGGTGCGTCCTCTCACTCCAGCTCCACGACTCGAAGGGGCGTCGCCGTCCAGATCGTAACCCGCAGTGGGTTACGATCCATAAAAAGTGGATTCTTTGTTAATGTCAGTTTTGGTGCCTCAAGTGGACGTTAGAGGAACTGCAACTATATAACGGCCACTCATGTGTTCTTTGCAGCTCTACAATGCTGTACGTCTTTTAGATAAATTAATAATCAATAGTTAGAAAAGCCGAATCGGCGGCGTCCCTGTGAATCGTGGGTAATTGCAGATGGTGGCAGTGTTGACGTCCTGTCATTTCTCCAGGAGCTGAAGTTTCCCGCTCGAGGCGTGGAGACCAACCCCAGCTCCTGGCCCTGGTTCTACAGAATGAACGACGCCATGGAGGGACGGTTCGCTGGCGCCGCGCCCATCCTCACTCCCATCGTGGAGGATGAAGATGAGGACTGCGAGTCGCTGTCCCCGACACCCAAGAAGCGAGCCCGCCGGAGCCGAGGCGGGATGGCCGAGTTTCTGACGGAGTCTGAGATGGACCTGCTGGTTGATAACGAGGACAAGAACGGATCGGCGGCTCTGGGCGAGCTGCACCGGATGGGCGAGTTCACCTACAAACGTAAGGATAATCGATCAGCTCGGAGCTCAGACAGCAGAGTGAGACTGAGGGGCACAGCTTAGTCCTGCGCTGCAGCCGGGGTGGATTGTGGGGAATGTAGGCATCAGGGAGGAAGGGAACATGTGCAAGTGAAAACTATTAAAGCACAGCCAATCAGCTGCCCAGGAGGTCATGTGATAGGTCCGGTTTGTCTTGGTTCGAGGGTTGGTCTAAAAGTTCGTTGTGCTCGGAGCTTCAGTTCTGGAGTCGTTTGGAATCAGGACGTAGGAAGTTTTTAAACGAAACAAACGATGTCACCCGATCGTATTCATGCACGCCGTGCAGGAAACGCCTCAAAGTAACGTTTGCATTCGCCTCTTTTCACAGTGAGCGAAGACGACACAAGGCGACTGATCGAGCTGCGAGCTGCTAACGAGTCTCTGTTCACCGGCAGGAGGAACACTGCCAAACCGGCGTGGAGGTGAGCGAGCGTTCGAGCGTCTGCTGAAAACACTGCGCTCGTTTCTGTGTGTGTAATACGTGTGTGTGTGTGTGTGTGTGTGTGTGTGTGTGTGTGTGTGTGAGTGTGTGTGTGTGTGTGTGTGTGTGTGTGTGTGCGCGCGCGTGCAGGGGAATAGTGAAGGAGATGGGTCTGACAGGGAAGATAACACCTGACCAGGTTGCCAAGAAGTGGGACAACCTGAAGACCAAATTCAAGGTGAGATCCCTGCAGCAGTTTGAGCAGCGTGCCTCAGGTCATGTGACCCCGTGTTACCGCCGCATCCTTTTTAGCCCTCAGCTGAGGCGGTGTTGTCCTCATAACTAATTTGCCTGTATTTAAATAAGTGTTGTTATATTTTTACCTACAAATACTTGGTGCACAGACGCTAACATGTCAGGTTTTACAGAGACTCATCGTTGGCACGCTGTCCTGTTGCACTGTGGGTCGGATAAACGTCTCCACTGTGAATGTCTGTGTGTGTGAGACGCTTACGAGCTTCAGGCGTTAAAACCAGGAAGTCAGCTTCAGTGTCGATGCTCTGCTAGTTTACATTTACACCAGCGAGAAAAACATTCCTTTTGATCTGAGCTGTTTCTCCACACGTGCAACAAATCCAGTTTTTCCTGATCGGCAGTGACAACAGTCCTGAGATAATTACTGTAGTGTCAGTCCTGCAGGTGGGCGGTGTGGACACGCAAGTCTGTGAGTGGATCGCTCGAGACTGAGGCGCCGTCGATACGTTAGTCGTGTGCAGGCGGAGGGGTGTGTTTTAAATTGACCTCAAGGTTGTTAAAGTAACTGAAGGAAATGTGGTTGGTGTGTTCGATGACTCTCAGGTGACTCGCAGTAACGTGTGCCCTGCATGTGAACCTATAACCTGCTTTGTCCAGTCGGACCTGTTTAAATAAAGTTAGACGCCTGAGTGTCCTGCAGCTCTCTGATAGTAATCGGCAGAGCGCCGCAGAGAGCTGCTGCTCGCCTCAAGCGTTCACTGAAACGTGAGTTTGCTGCGTCTGCAGGACCTGAAGTTTCCTCCTCGGGGGATGGAGGGTCAGACCAACCCGGCCTCGTGGCCCTGGTTCCAGCTGATGAGCGACGCTCTGGAAGGCCGTCTGACGGGCAAAGCTCCCCGAGTGACGCCCGTCTGGACCAACGAGGAGGACGGCGTGTTCGGCTCGTCCCCGCCTCCCGACAGAGACTGTTTGATGGCGGAGAGGAGCAGCGTGTCGGAGCTGGAGAGCATGGTGGGCGGAGACAACGCGGAGTCCGACGGGAACGTCACCTACATCGACGCCAGCGGAGAGGAGTGTTCGACGCCCTCCGACCCGACGTATAAAAGTGAGAGGATTTCTTCGTGGTCACGGCCCGGTGACGATCGCTGCCCTCAAACCTCCTCGAGGCTTCGCTCACGTCGTTTAAGAAAAATTTTCACGTTTAAGAAAATACAAAACGGCAAAAACCAAACGAATACAAACAAAGACAACATCAGACAGGAAGTCAAACATCTGTTAAGACTAAATAATAAGACCTGAAATTTATCCTGTGAGAAAAAAACGCTGAAAAGCTTTGCAAAGAAAAATGTAACAAAATTCAAATTGAATAAAATACAAAGTAAAATAAAAACTTTAGAAATAACTGATTAAAATAAAGACAAAATGTTTACACACAGAAATAAGGAAAGTATATATATTATCATAATAACAACGCGTGTGTTAAAATACAGATACTGAAAAAACATTTAATAAAAATGTGGTTTAAAATGTAAACACATGAAATCTATGCAAATGTTTGAACATAAATAATGAATAAAAAATTGTTATCAAAATACACAGATATCAATAAAAGATATTTATTCAAACTGAATAAATTAAAGTACAAGAACATAAAAAATCTTTTAAACAAATTTAAAATACCTGAAATTAAACTTATGCAGCACAAAAAACCCTGAAAACTTTGAAACTGCAGCATAAAATCACTGATGACTTGTCTGTCGACCTGTGTGCGTCGCAGTGACCGACCAGGACACGAGGAAGATGATTAAACTTCGAGCCGCTAACGAGGCGTTGTTCACCGGGAGGAGGAACGCCGCCAAAGCCGCCTGGAAGTAAGTATCCCTCCCGTGCGGGTGAATGTCGGAGCAGCGAGGCGTTCCTGACTCTGTGTCCTCACTTCCTGTCAGAGCCATCCTGAAGGAGCTCGGTCTGCAGGGGAAGGTCTCCACCTACCAGATGGCGAAGAAGTGGGACAATCTGAAGAGGCGGTACAAGGTAGGCCGTCACTAACTCCCCGCCTCGGTAAAGCTGCTCGTGGCTGCGTGTTTCTAAAATCCTCTGCTCTCCTCAGGACCTGAAGTACCCTCCTGTCGGGATGGAGACCGTGGCAGACGGCGCCTCCTCCTGGCCGTGGTTTCACCTTATGAACGAAGCCATGGAGGGCCGGCTGGCGAGCAGCGCCCCCCTCCTGGCCCCCGTCACTCAGGACGATGATCAGCACCCGGACCCCGCTCCCAGACTCAGGCCCCGCGCCACCCCCGCACCTCCCCCTGCCCCACCGCCCTCCCGCCCGTCCTCCTCAGACTACGCGCCGGATGCATTCGGAGATGGCGCAGAGCAGAACCAGCGGAGCTCAGAGACATGCGACGGGCCGCTGGGGGGGCTGGAGAGGGAGTGGGAGATGGTGGAGAGGGAGAGGGCGGCGCTGGAGCGAGAGAGAGAGATGGTGGAGCGAGACAGAGCAGCGCTGGAGAGAGAGAGGGCGGCGGTGCAGGCGGAGAGGCTGTGGCTGGACCGGGAGCGGGCGGCAGTGGAGCGGGACAGAGCCATGGTGGAGCAGGAGAGGGCGGCGCTGGGCCGGGACAGGGAGGTGCTGGACCAGAGGGCGCTGATGCTGAACTCTGTGGGACACTCGGGGCACCTCAACGCCCTCATGTAGACCGCCGGTGCGGTGTGGGGGCGTGGACTATCCCTGTACAGACCTCGTGGCGGGCTGGCAAACCGCCTGCTTGTCTGTGGGTCCAGACTCTGGATCCACAGAAGGACTTCTGTGAAGGACTGAGCTCGCTGAGTGGGCGGTCCTGGGATCAGACGGCTCTGCGTGCAGGTCCATAATAATCAGAAACATCACCTGAGTCAGGTGTGGCTGACGTCGTGTTCTCAGGCGGCTGCCGGGCCGCCTTTGGATCTCTGAGCTGTTCAGCCGGGGGAGGAGGAGGAGACCCAGCGCGGCGGACGCTCGGATCTCGGCAGCAGTGATGAAAACGGTCCGGCACTGCCTGAGAACACGACCTCACTGTGGAGGCCGGTCGGTTTGGTTTTCATTGGACGTTCTGGAAGCGCCCTCCTGGGATGCTGACTGGTTACCAGGAGCGCTGCACAGAGTCAGGCAGGACTTTTGTTTCTGTGTTTAATGAAAGTTCATCAAGTTAAACTCGTTTCCATCCTCAGTGCCACAGAGTGTTTTCTTTCTTCTCTTTGAGGAACTGAAAGGGTTCTGCAGGGTTCATCGGGAATAGTGAAAACTGAAGCAGGAACGGGCTGTTCCCGGGAATCCCTCACTGTGATCACACTCGTGTAAGATGATGCTTGTGTGCTTGAAGTGTCCAGACGAGCCTTTAATTTAAACAAAACACCAATTTGTGACTGATGCCACTCAAACTGCACTGAGCAGCCGGATTTCAAAATAAAAGCTCCAGAGGGATTTTACGAGTTCTTCACAGTGATGGAGGGGGGGGCGGGGGGGGGCAACGACTGACTTTACTAAACATTTTCAGGACAAATGGTTTCACTAATTACACAAACTGGGAGGTGCAGCCCTGAACATCCTGTACTCGGGTGCAGGGTAGCTGAACTCGTAGACCTCGGCAGATTTCCTTGTTGCTGCTGAGCTCTGATCAGCACACCTATCTACACCTGTCTACACCTGTCTACACCTAAACACCAATCCCATCTTTACACCTACAGCCTCTTTTCTGCTTTGGTTTTTTGCTTGCACATGTCCTACACTTACCGCTGAGCCTGCACACAAATATTTAAAGATTCTCATCATGGGAAAAATGTAAATTGTAATCAGATTACTCTGAATTGCATGATTACATGGCGTTACGCCGGCGTTCATCACTTAGAGGACAGTAAAGTTGGTGCCTTGATTTTATTTAAATCCTGACGGCGACTTCCTGCCCCGAGGACGTCGTTTCCATATGAAAAACAGATGCGAGCACCAGACGCCATCGAAGCTGCTGCAGGTCTGTGGTCATGGCGTGCGCCGACTGAAGCCTCTGTGAGTAAAACGGGTTTGGCGAGTATGTCCTGTTTAAATGAAGCCAGGTGTTACAAATAAGAGGGCGCGTAACAGGGCCCTCAGCAGGCTTCCAGAAATTAACCAATCAGAAGCTGGATTCCTGTTACAGCAGCCAAAATATTAAGTACAGCTGCGGTCAACGATGACCGTGCTGACGGGTTAGTGGACACGGGAGGTTTTACACCAGTGTAACCAGTAAACTGTGCGTGTGTGTGTGTGTGTGTGTGTGTGTGTGTGTGTGTGCGTGCGTGCGTGCGTGGGGGGAGTAACCCCGACCTGAGTCTGCGCTGCTGTCATCTACACAGATTTATTCGGCCGGCCGTTTAAGCCTCTTAACTTGTTATTGACGAGGAACCAAATGTGTGTTTACATCTGTGTGACAGGACGAGGAAGCGTCTGCTGCTCGGTCAGAGGTCAGTCTGTCACATGACACGGTCATTTACATAACCAGGCCATTCAACTTACCGTTAATAATAATAGAGAGGCAGGTCCATTCTAATGATGAGAGGACTTTTGTCGGCCTGCAGGTGTTTCGTGTGTTTCTACTAACCGTGACGTTATCTTGATGAGTCTAGCGTCCTCGCTTGAGGGGGGCGGAGCTGTTCTGATTGTTTTAAAAACTCTTTTCTCTGTCGTTTTGTGTGAACTTGCTGAAGGAGGAACAATAACGACTTGAATCGTGTTTGAAAAGTGAAACTGAAGCGCGTCGAGGGTTTGATGTCGGGGATGTTCTCAAATGTAAGTCGCCGCCTGACGACCACACTAACGTTGAAGCACATTTCTGTCTCCAGCTTTTCAGTGTTAAAGAGGCTGCAGGTCATGTGACCTCTGTGGCACTGTCAGGTTTTCTATAGAAAACGTAAAACATGCCTTTTGTTTGCCGTTTGTCTCCTGGAGGAAATAAAGATCAGCATTGATTAAAAAGTGTTGTTTTTACTGTGTGAGGACAGGAAGCAGGAACCTGCAGGTTCGGATTATAAGTCGTGTTTCAGACGCTTCACTGTTACGCAGTTTATGCTGAAAATGAGGCCGAAGGTAAAAACAGATGGGCTGTAACAGCCAGGTGTGACGCCCCTCACCTTTACGCCGCGTCAGCGTGGAACTGCTGGGTTCCACACATACGTTTCACATATTTGACTAAACGAAGTCCCTGAAACTGACGGAGCTCTCCTCCTGGCATCAAACCCACGGTTGATGTTGTGATGATTTCTGATATGAGGTTCAGTTCTACGGTGGTGATCGCAGGGTGTGCACAGGTCAAGTGCCACTATGACCCTCCAGAAAATAACGAGGACAGGGGATGA